ACAGCATTCTATCCATCAAAGCAAAAATAAGACAGCTGACATTCAAAGGGAAGGGAAATAGACCCCATTTCTTGAAGGACACCAATGCAAATTACATTACAAAAGAATGTGTTTAGGGAGGGAATTTGTGGCCATTAAACAATTGATGACTTATTATTAAAAACTGTGAATAGCTCCTATTGACATATCCATTGTACATCTTGGTAAGTAAGTATCCACTATCATTTCTTAAGCTTTGGTCCAAGTTGGTCTGTGAGTCAGGTTTTAGACCTACATTTCCAAGGTAGGCAGGTAGGGTTGGGACCAGTGAGAATGTTGCACTCCAAAATGTAGCAGTAGCTGGAACAGAACTGGTAATGAAGAACATTTGCAGGTGACAATTATAAATCTTTGGTAAAGTGGAAGAGCTCTAAGCCTATCTCTAGAATGTCTCAGACAATGTTTAAAATCTGGAGGGTGAGGGGCTGGAGTTGTAGCCCAGTGGTAGAGGGCTTGCCTTGTATGTGTGAGGCACATGCGTTCGATTCCAGAAGCTCATATAAGTAAGCACATATAAGTAAGCATTTTAAAAAAACATCTAAAGGCCCATCAACAACTAAAAAATATTTTTAAAAAATCTGGAGGGTGAGATTAATGTCTCACACACGGGCTTCCTGCTCAACTCTAAAGGGTTGGAAGGGGGCAAAACTTTTCCAAGTCTTTTTCAAGACTCAATACCTGTGTCTCAGTTGTTAACTATCGGCAATTTGGACTTATTAAAAGTGACAAGAATTCCAGAGAAAGTCCAAAGGAATGAAGAAACTGAGGTAAGGAAAACAGATTCAAGGACAGGACATTTCCCACTAAGATAATTAGTTTTAAAAATCTCCCTCATTTCAAGAGCTGATAAATCAGAAAGAATTATTTTTCACTAATTTTTCTGTGAACCCGAATTCTAAGCCTGAGCTATGATGCTCAAGAAGCTATGGAATCAAATACTGTGAACAGGTGTTTCAGCAACTGCCAAACAAATGTTGTCAAAGCTTTGGTTGAGAAGTCAGCATCAAAAGTTAAGATATAGTGACATCCATCACGCACAATCTTGGAAATCTTCAGATAAATCACAGTCAGAGCCGGGGAATGCTATCATAAGTCACAATATAGCTCCTTAAAGGGGACTCAAATTTAGTGTCTTTTTCATTTGCATAGAGAATAGTAAAACTGCTCCAGGTGAGGCTTGAACTCACAACCTCGGCATTGCTCACAAGTCGTACTGTCCTATAAGTACCGCGCGCTAACCGATTGCGCCACTGGAGCCACCGCAGGTGGTGCCTCGGGGACGTTAAGTGAAGATACATTTACAAATGAAGATTAAAGAGTAATTGCTCTTAAAGTTTTGTTTTTGATGCTAAATACTATGAACAAAAAAGACACAAGGTTTCCACGAATGGGATTAAAAGACGTAAACAAGGGAACTCCGGAATTAGCCGAGTTTGTCTTTTCTTGTCCCACCCCTCGCTGCAACACAGAGGCACGCAGAGACTGAGGGTGGCAGTCTTCAGTACCGTGGTTAGATTGAAAGAAGTCACTTTAGCTCAGGAAAAGATGGAAGCTAAGATGGCTGCATGCAAAACAGACGTTTCGCTCTGAAACTGTGCTTCTCTTGGACCTTATATCTTCGCTATTCTACTTTTCTGCACTTCCACTCTGCATTCAGCTAGCCTTCCTTTGCTTTAAATGCCGCTGTCTCAACCCGACCCAGTCACTCGCCCGCTTTTAATCTTTACTTTGCTACCCTGAAACATTCAAAGAGATACTTCCTTTACCAAAAAAAACAAAACAAAACAAAACAAAACAAAAACAACAACAACAAAAAAAACCTGTTTTAGATCTACAGCACTGCAAATAATAATAATGATAATAATTATTATTTATTAATACAGAAAGGAAAAACACTTTTTAAATTATGATTGCAATATAAGCTAAACAAATGCAAGAAAACAATAAAATATTTTTGAAAAATTTCTGAAGTCTTATATCTTGAGAAATCCATTGTTAGCATTTGTTGTTTTTTGTTTAGGCTTTTTGTTTGTTTGTTTTTGTTCTATGAAGAATTACACGTATAGATTAAATATTTTTAAACATCTTCGTTAAAGGTTTCAAACAATGTGAACAAAATGGCCCCTCTTACCAGCACATTTCTTTTTATTTTTTTCAGACTGAATGTTCTTTAGTCCTTCAGTGACACATAGTTATCTAGTGGGTTTCCCATGATAAATCCACTCTAGCATCCCACATTTCTGAACTTCTGATCCCTTAATTCTGCCATCTGTCACAGCAGATGGCATTTCTACTATATTTAGCAAGAACCGTTTCTTTTTCTAAGCAGGAAGTATTCTAATAGCGTGCTAGGTTCATGGCAGCATATAAAAATTCTGTATTCAGGGAAAATGCTACTATATCAATAAATTCTTCTTAGACTCTAGTTGTACATGGGGCAAATGCTGAGTGGATAGCAAACAACATCTACATTGCTTTCAAGCAAGAAGGACATGGGTTTAACCACTTTTAATAGTTTCAGGGGTCCTGGCAAATCTGGGGAATTTTGATGTTTTAATGCATCAATTCAAAGGTCCATCCAATGTCTCAGGGTTTTATTCGTTTCCAATCATTACCAGGACCTTGGCATAGGAGACATTGTGAGGATGGCCTTAGGCCTAAGCCTAGGCAACTCCATTTTAAAACTCCTGTTTGAAACCTGCAGTCTCACCAGGCACCCCTAAAGGAGCCTTCCAGTATGGCCCTGTGGCACAAACAAGTCACTTCTCCCCACCCTGATAAACTCAGAGTGAAGTCTCTGGCAGGCTGTCCTGGCCTGATAAAAGGGAAAGGCACCTGATAAGAGAGAAAGGTGAAAAGATCAGGATGGGGACCACCAGACCAGATGTTTTAATCCCAGGGTAAATGATGTCACTGAGATACCCGGTGGCAGTTGATAAGGATTGAAAGAGGGGGTCAAAAGCCCCCAAATTTGGTACAAATAATAGAGCTAATAAACAGACATCCAGCCATCCGACAATGATGCCCTCATGCTGAGAGTCTGATGAAGACCTGGACTGACATCCCAACACTTCCTGATCCTCTCTGCATTTTCCTCACTGCTCTCAAACTCTACAGCCACATCTTGACCCTGGTAAGAGCTGTAACTTCTCCCTATGAACTTCTCTTTAATCAGCCATCAGCTCCATCCTTGAGAAGCCTGCCTTGGTTCCTGACCTGATCACCACGGTCTGAGTGAGTGTGCATCTGCTGGACTTAAAGCCTAAGGCTTGAGACTTTTGAACTGACACTTGAACTTAGCATGCAGGGGCAATGTCTATCATTAGCCAGTCATGATTAAGTGTGTTTGCAGTGCTTAGAATTAATTAATCTGGAATTGTTTGCTGTGAATTGATTATGTCTATTGCAGTGCCAAGCATTAAGGATTATTGTTTTCTTGATTAAGAACCTATAGAGTGAAATTGTATTGAGTGATTTGAGTGAATAAAGCATTGAAAGGGGCAGAAGTGCGTGGACATTCTTTATTTCTCCCCCTGGACTGCATAAGTCACACCTTTTGCCAATCGCAATACAACTTTCTTTGAAATTCTGCTATTCCTATGATTAAGTCTTCGGCCAGCACCTTGGCTTTTTGTGTCCTGAGTTGCAGGATATGTTCTTAACAGGATCCCATGGTGGCATCCTTTCACATTGAGACTTTTTAAGTGATATATCATCCTCAACTTTTAATTGTCTCTCTCCAAAGCATTAATTTCCTCTAGCAATGACCATCCAATTCTATTACTGAATAATTACCAATCCCCCCACGTTTTTTAATCACCCGATTCATCACATCTGCTGGTGCATGTGTGCATATGTCACTCATCCAGTCAGCCACCGCTGAACCAAACACTGAGGGAAAGGAGGCACCACATGGGGAAGCATCCCTTGAGGGATGGAGTCCTTTGTCACTTCTCATGAACAAGTAATTGGATATTGGCTATCCCAGGAGGCAACAAACTTGGCCTAAAGCAATTCCCAAAGACAGGTGACAACTAAAAGCCATCAAGTGACAACTTTCCAAACATCTGAGAGGATAAATCCCTTTGTCGGGGGGAATTTCGAGAATTCTGAACAATACACCATCAGTAAGCACTAGGAGGAAGATAAGATGAGTTCAAGTACAAGATGGAATTTTAAAAACCACAGAGATCTTAGATGCTGCGTAAAACTTTTATTTGAGACAGTAACAAGGCTGGTTCTGAAGCTGAGAAATCTGGGGTTGAGAGGGGAATTTCATCCCTCAAAAGATAAAAATCTGTCCCCATCCAGGAACCATGATCTGAATACACTAAGAATCGGACAATAAGGAAAATTTTTACAGGACAGAACAGAGAAAAGTCCTGGGTCCTATTATCATGGAGACACCCTCCCTTCATCTAAGTCATTGTTCTTGCTCCTACTTTCCCTTAGGGTTCTCACTGGAGAATGACAGGTGGAGGGAAATGTCATGGGTGAAAACTATTCCAAAAGACTTAGAAACTGACAATACATGGTTGTCCTACTAAGAAGTAGAATATAATTTGAATGACTAGATCCCCATGCTCTTTCTGTACCTTCAGGGTGGAAAAAGGAGGAGTCAACATGCAGGGACATCCTTCTTCCAAAGATGATGGAAAACTAAGCCATTCTCATGGAAGGATGATTTTCCTTTTATGGATATGAATTATACAAACTGTAATGGAGGCCTGGGGATTAGGGTTTCCATTCTTTTACTATTGACCCACACACTTTTTCCAGGAGAAAGGGCAATAGCCTTCCAAATACAAATCTACTTGGTGGAGAATGGGAACTTTAGCAGAATGAAGATAACTTAGTCAAAAGGAGGCCATTTAGGAAAAGAATATGGTGAAAAGATGAAGTTTTTCAGAACAGGTCTTTAGGTGAGAAGCAAGATGGCTTCTGCCCCCAACTCAGTCTTTTTATTTAGTGTTGAATTGCTTCAGGTACACCAGGATGTCTGACTTGACTCTGCTGATTGTAGCACGGTGGAACCATCGCATGACAGGGACTCCATCAGGCCCCACCAAAAATTTTTCAAAGTTCCAACGGATGTCATGAACTTTTATGGGTTCCCAGGAGATATATTTTAATGAGCCCAACATCTCAGATGGATGAGGACAGGAATGCTGAAGCAGAAAGATGGAAAAGAGAAACAACACATCACTTTTGCTACCAGATGATCAAGGTATTTTTACTCAGAAGTAATCCACTTCCTCCTGTATCTAAATATTTTATTACTTATGATTCCTGGTAAACCCCATAAAATTTCCAAAACACCACAATGTCAATTATCAGGAATGTTGTAACTATTGTAGCCAAATTCTGCTCCTTCCTTTTATTTTTTCCCCATAAACCCAACCCACAATCATGCCACCAGTGTTAAGATATGTCACCACTCAAGCTTCATTTTCCTTTTCTGCAAAGTGATTGACTTGGATTAAAATGTGGATTTCCAAGTTTTAGGGTTCAATGGGCCAATAGCATTTCAATAAATATCTTTTGGGGATAACTTAGAGTTAATGACATTATATCAAAGCAAAAATGTTAAATACCATCAATTCATCATCCTCATTTTAGAAACGCCATCCTAAGAATATATGTGTCATAATCTTTATTTTTTAATTTTAGGTGGACATAATATCTTTATTTTACATTTATGTGGTGCTGAGGATTGAATCCAGTGCCTCGTGCATGCTAGGTGAGCACTCTACCACTGAACCACAACCCCAGCCCCAGTCATAATCTTTAAATAAAGGACAGCCCTATAAGTTAGATGAGTTGAATTAATGAAATCCTCTGTACATATTCTTTCTTCAGCTTACTGAGGATATACACAAATTTTAAAATGGGCTAGTCATGGTCCAAGTCCAGCATTTAGAAGTAATTCACTCTAGTGATATTTAGGATTCTTTTAGCTCTGGCACTCTCTTTGTCCAAAAACTGGTATTAGCAGCATGATGGCACATGCCTATAGTCCCAGCAATTTGGGAGGCTAAGGCAGGAGTATCACAAGTTAGAGGCCAACCTCAGCAACTTAGCCTAGCCCTAAGCAATTTAGTGAGACCCTGTCTCAAAATAAAAAATAAAAAAAGGGTTGGGGGATGTGGCTCAGTGGTTAAGCACCTCTGGGGCCAATCCCCAGTACAAAACAAACAAACAAACAAACAAATAAATAAAAACCAATGTTTCAACTAAAAATACCTACTACATTGTATTAATCCTGTTGATTTCTAGCACATTCTTTCTCTCTCTCTCTCAACTGTGATCTCATGTTACTATTTAGCCTGCATTATAGGTAGCAGGCACTCATTAAATGTACCTTAGATGAATGAATTAATGAATGTCAATGAGTAAGAGGGTGGTCCCAGTAAAAGCTGCCATTCCACATAATTCTCTCCCCCATACAAAGTCAGGGCCCCATAAACATTAACAAATTAAACCCAAATCTTATGCTGACCTGAAGATTCCCTCTAAAAAGATCAATCCAACCTCTAGGCATGATCTCTTGGGCACATTTCTACCATAACAATTCTGCACTAAGAATATTAGGGAAAAGGAGGAGGTTTAAGCCAGTAACTGACTCACCTTCAAGAAGGTGAAGACTTTCTGTTCTTTTTCACCATTCACATCTCCTTTCTCAAAAAGCTGGAAATTAGGTATATATCCTCCCCCTGGACGAACATACCTGCAATAACCAAATGTTCCCAGGAAGCTCCAGGATAAAGTTATGATGGGACACCAGATTTGAAGTCACAGGAAAGGGCAGAATGAGGAATAGATATAATAGATGGGAGAGGTGACAGAAATAGGCCATTTTTAGACTTTGGGCTCCTTAGTCACTATTTTATTCCACAATCTATCTTGGATCCTCTCATTGTTTCTGTGCCAATTATCTCTGTTCTTCTGCTCTTCCACAGTCCATCCAGTTCTCAACCAGGGGTGGAGACAAAATCTCTGGACACTACCAGACTCTTATCAAGGTAGATTAATGTTTAAAAAAATCAGTTTGCAGATACCCTTGAGCCTAATAATCCACTATCTTCCTGGGAGGTTTCTGAGATGGAAGAATCTCTGCAGATAGGAAAGATGGACAAGTGTCTCCTACTGGGTTTCAGGCAGGCACTTACTTGAGTCCAGGAAGAATCTCTGTGTTGTCTCCTGGTTCTTGCTTTCCAAACTGGTTGCAGGGAAAGCCCAACACAACAAAGCCAAAGGGCTTTAGCTCCTCCTGAAGTTCATTCAGTTCTGTGATTAGAAAAGGGACATGATGGCCAGCCTAGATAACCTTTGGGCAGAGAAGGATCCCTGGGGTTATTCATTCTACAGAGAAGGAAACAGAGACCAGGGAGGGAAATATCTCTAGATCAAAGAGGCTATGAGTAGCACAGCTGAAGTTGGACACCAGATCTTCAGACATGCCTGCTAGACCAGTGAATATAGTACAGTATTTCCCAAGCCTGTAACCACATCCAATCGTTAAAAATAAGGATGCCCATAAGTTTCTGATTCTATTTCTCTGAGATGGGACCAAGTCATCTTAATTATTCAAACTCCCGTGATTTTTAAACAAAGCCAGATTGGAACATCTTTACTATTCTTATCGGTTTGCTTTCCCTGGTTGGTGAATTTACAGACTGAATCTTTCTTTCTAAAGGGAAGACACAGATGACAAGACTGAGCTTCTTTCCTCAGTACAGGCTGGCAGAGTGCAGATCAATCTGACAGAGCCAAAGAAAACCTGAGAAAGTTCAAGTTAAGCTTTCTGCTGCTCTTCAACCATCCTGAGGATGTTAAAGATGCTTTCTACCTAAAAGTCTTCAGTGATTTGCCAAACACGAGCTTCAGCTGCTTTCTTCTACTGCCAGGAAGTTTCCAACTTGTCGGCTCAGGCTTTTATAATCCATGTCTCTTTATTGACACTTTCTGGACCAGATGCCTTCAGTCCCTTGATGAGCACTAGCCAGTGCCACTCAGATTCAGCTCACCCAATTGGTATCTCCTTTTAGCCCCTTTCTTTAAAAGGAGAGACTGCTTTCCTGTTTTCACGTGAGTCCTCAGAACCTCTCTCCATGTACTTCCCTCTTGTCTTCAGCACTACAGATAATCCCTCCCTCTAGGAAAGAAAAGAAAATAGGAAGCCTGTCTTCCACTCCTTGAGCAACTATTCCTCAGTTTCTTCATCTGTTATGTGCAGAAGAAGATGAAATAAGTTCATTTTTAAAGTCCCTTATAAATGGACAAAATGAATTATGTTTAAAAAATAATATTCAGTCTTTTTTTTTTTTTGGTACTAGGGAGTGAATCCAAGGGCACTTAACTACAGGGTCTCACTGAGTTACTTAGGAACTCACTAAGTTGCTGAGGCTGACTTGAACTCACAATCCTCCTGCCTCAGCCTCGCAAGCTGCTGGATTACAGGCATGCACCACCAGCCCAGTTAATATTCAGTCTTAAAAAAGAAAGAGGAAATAAAATAAACTCAAAATTATGTTGTTAATTTAAAAAATAAGACAGCAAACATATTCGCATCATGTTTTCAACTGGTAGGAAAAGCAGGAAAAATAATCCATATCCATATTTTATAAACATGATAATATAAGCTGTCTGAAGGGAGGAAAGGGAGGTGGAAAGATTTTTTTTTCACTCTGAACCTCTTTGTTCCTTTTGAATTTTGAGGCTTGTGAATCTATTACTTCTGCAGAACACAACATAATTAAAAACAAATTCTTAGTAATTCAAATATATAAAGTGTATCTGATATAATACATCCTGCTCACTATTAATTTGTTTTTAAGCCAATGGTCCTAAGAGACATATGAGAGAGACAAAATTCTTCCTTGAATAATGAACAAGGAGGAAGAAAACTACACCCAAGAGAAGAGGCAAGATTGACAGGGTGCATGTGCTTCTATCATAGCCTCTTCTTCTGGCCCTTAACTCCAGTCAAATACAGCTCCAGGTACAAACTCTTTCCCCCCTTTCCTTGTGAAAGGATAAAAGAAACTGAAGTTAAAGACCAGGCATTGTAAAGCTTCTAAGCTGCAAAGCCTGAGTTAAAATGTAAAAGACCAGGTATTGTTAAGTTCCTATGCTACACTCAAAACCTGAAATTCCTGTAGCTGTTAGGACAATTCACGGGACTGCCCAGTAGATATTCCCCCTGACCATTTAGTTGTTAAATAACCTGGGCCCTGTGCAGTTTGGCACGTAGGCATTCAGGGCCCAAACCAATCAGTTTAAATGTGTACCCCGCTTTAGGACTAACCTATCACCCCCGCCCGACCTGTTCCCGCCAATGAATGTACTAATCATGTTCGAGAGTTGTTGTTCGCCTCATGATGATTTGTTCTGATGTATGCAAAGCCCCCGCCCTCCCCAAAAAGTGTACTTAAGCACTGCTCAACCCCTGCTTGGGGCTCTTGGCCGCTCTCCCTTCTTGAGTGAGCACGGAGCCCCAGCATGCTGGATCCTCAATAAACCCCCTTTTGCGGTTTCATGAGTCGGTCTCTTGGTGGTCTCTTCCTCCGTCGTTCGCCGGTCCCTTACACTTGTCACTATAAAAGACTTTGCAAAAGTCTCAAAAAACATGGATCTTTTCTTATCTATTTGCCAAGGAGACTTCTGGAATCTTCTATGAAGCTCCTAGTTCTTAGATATATATTGATTTTATTAGAAACTTCAGACAAAGCAGAGGCCAACCCTGGGAATATCAGCAATTTTTTTTTCTATAAAAGCTAAATAGTATTTTAGGCTTTGCAGATCACCTGGCCTTCATCATCACTACTAAAACAACTACTGAACTCTCCCTGTGGCATGAAAGCAACTTAGATAGTAAGTAAATGAATGAACATAGCTGGGTCCAATACAACTTGGTTTATAAAAACAGACTGGCCAGATTTGGCCTATAGGGCACAGTTTATTGACTTTTGACATTGAGAATAAAGTCATTTACCTATGAGTATTTATGTTGGCATATAATTAGAATTACAATATAATTCCAAGTGTGATTTTTAGAATATCAAGTGTTATTTAAAATCAGTTGGAAAATTTAGTCTCAAAGACATATGGCTGTGAATTCTTACCAGGATATTGAGCTGTCAGGCCACAATAGGTGGCTACGTTGACAAAGAGGATGTACTTGCCCTCATACTGCTTGAATTGAATGCGTTCCATCCCATTAAGAGTGAAGGCCTCATAGTTATATATGGTGCCTTTTACATCTTTGTAGCAATCCATCTGGAAGATTTAAAAAAAATGATAATATTAGTGATAATTCCTGATATCTGTGTATTATTTCAAAGCACTTAAAGAATAATACAGGTATCAGACTCAGAGAACAAAAAATAATTGTCTAAGGGATCAATGAAAATATTGAAACTTGGGTTTTGTGACTTAAAAATCATTCCTTTTTTTTTTCCCTCCAGCAACAAGTAGTCAAGTCTGTCTTCCTATTATTTGGGCAAAGGTAGGCTACTAGGAAATACTTGGACAAATATAAAGTGCTAAGAGCCATAGCTAAGTAAGAATGATGCATGGCAATTTCCTTGTCAGCCTACCCCATGTTGCTTAGAAGGAGGGCTCTCCATTGTGGAAATGGGCTTGCCTTGGACCCAAGTCATTTGCAGTGACATTGCATGAATGTTTGAGTAAGGTGACCCTGCTCAAGGACCAGGGTGGATCCAGGTTTAGGGCGGATCAGGGTTTAGGGCGGATCGGGGTTTAGGGCGATCCGGGTTTAGGGCAGTTCCAGGTTTAAGGTGATTCCTGCTGGGAATAGGGCGTATCCTGCTGCCTCAGGCGCTCGCCCGCTCCTTGAGTTCCCGTTGAGTTCTTGCGGGATTCAGAGAGTATTTGGGATTCAGAGCCCGGTGGAGAGTGTGGATTTTCCCCAGAACATGCATGTAGAGTGCCAGTGACAGTTCGGGAATAAAGAATTGCTGTTTGAATCTACAAGGCTGTGAGTGGCTAGTGATTTTGTGCCCAGCCAGACGGCGGCAATAAAGAAAAGAGATTTGTGAGCTGGGATATGAGAAACAGAAAATAAGTGGGGCTAAAGAGAAAAGTACACTGCTTTCCAAATTTTTTAATATTCGTTTTTTAGTTGTAGTTGGACACAATACCTTTATTTAATTTATTTACTTATTTTTATGTGGTGCTGAGGATTGAACCCAAGGCCTCTCATGTGCTAGGCAAGTGCTCTACTGCTGAGCCACAATCCCAGCCCCTGCTTTCCTAATGTCTGTGAAAATTAAGCTATGTTTTAGCTCTGAATTGAAGTCTCAGAGAAGGGCAGTTTTAATTGCTTAAGTACTTCAGAGTAGCTGAGTTACTTTTCTTTCTCTAGGCCTTCTGACTTCTTAATCCAAGCATCAACATACTAGAATGGAAAGAATTTTAGCCTGGGAATCAGAAGCCAGATCTATTATTACACTCCTCTATGAACCTAGGTAATTCTCATCTTGGACCTCAGTTTCCCCATGAGTAAAATGCAGCTATAAGGAGGGCCCTCCAAGTTTAACATTCATCCCCATCTCACTTTTCTCCCTTCTGTCATGCTCTTACTCATGTGATGCTCTTGTATGTCAATACTGTGAAATCCCAGCTTTGGGGTAACCCCTGCTATTGCCTAAGAGAAGATATAGAGAGCTTCAAAGCCTATCTGCAAGTAGGTCACTAGGATCTGTCTGGCAGCATCTGACCTATTATAAACCCTGTTCCCCACACCATTGTGTTTTAGGTACCTAGTGCCCACCTTCATCATCATCAGCTCCATCTATCCTATTCCTTCTCAAATCTCCTGAACATACTTGAATGGATATCCACATAAAACAGAAATAAGTTTTATGTAACAGAAATAGGCTCTTCCTGAAACTTCCATTGCATGTACTTATGTTGAATTCCTCTACAAAGCAGTTCTCATCTTATTTTTCTTATTCTTGTCTATTCTTGCAGGGTACCTGTAGTACCCAAGTACTCTGAAGCCACAGTACTCACTAGCACAACCTGATCTCTTTCCCTATATTGAGGAAGCTGTTACAAATTGTCTGTGGACTACAAGGAGTATAATATAGGAAATACGAAAAGGAAGCTACTTGCCTGAACCCTCTAGTGAGAAAAAGGCAGAGAAACTGTTTTGAAAAAAAAGAGAAGGGCATTAGCTCCTAAGGAAGGTGCAGATTTAAACAGGATTAAACTAGATTTCCTGGATATGCAATGGACCAGAAAGAATTTTAACTAAACACTATCCGCCCCCACTCAGGAGTAATGTAAAACAAAACCCAACTTTTTCCAGCCCTACAAATCCAGTGATTATATCACTAGTACACCAGATTGCAGTTACTCAGTCCTTCTCTTAGGGAGAAAGCTATTTTCTCTATATAAGTTTTTGTGCCTTTCTCTAAATTTGCACACTTATATGCACCAGTACTGAGGTGTGTATAAAGAGAATATTATATGAGAACATCCATTTCTACTTTCATGATGCTTGGTTCCAAGTCAAACAATTTTAAGAATTTGCCTTCTGCACCTCTTTCTTTTTCCCCCTATCACAATGAAAATCATGCTGCAAACAGGTTGCAGGGTCTTAGACTCTGAACTTGAAGACTTACTACAGATGTTGATTATTGTTCCTAGTTTATTTAAATCTATGTGATATGTCTGAACCCCTCCAGACACAACTTTTCTTTGCAGATTTTTATCGGTGCATTATAGTGGTCTTTACATAATAGTGAGATTTGTTTTTACATATTCATACATGCATATAATATAACATATATATATATTCATATATTCTGGATTTTAATCTTCTGTCAGAAGAGTAGCTAGCAAAAATGTTTCTCCCATTCTGTAGGTTCTCTCTTCACCTTCTTAAAATTATTTTCCTTGTTGTGTAGAAGCTTTTTAACTTGATGCCATTCCATTTATTAATTCTTGGCATTATTTCCTGAACTTAAGGGATCCTATTGCGAACCTTATGCTTATGTGCTAGAACGTATAACTCTACGTCCCCCCACCTCCAGGAGTTGCAGAGTTTCTGGTCTAATTCTTAGGTCTTTGATCCATTTTGAATTTACTTTTTGTAGGGTGAGAGATAAGGGTCTAGACTCATACTTCTACATCTGAATAACCAGGTTTTCCATCATTGTTTGTTAAGAAGTTCAGGCTTGGGCTGGGGTTGTGACTCAGCAGTAGAGAGCTTGCCTAGCATATGCAAGGCCCTGGGTTTGATCCTCAACACCACATATAAATAAATAAAATAAAGGTATTGCGTCCAACTACAACTAAAAAATAAATATTAAAAAAAGGGGCTCAGACTCAGCTTTTATTAAGCAAATTCTAAGCCCAGAGTCTCCACACAAAATTAGGCAGCATTTGGTAACATAAAAAACCCTATCAATTCTGAAAATAGAAAGTCACCCAGCAACTTTTCTAGTCAATTTCAGATAGAGGTAAAGATCTTATCAGATTTGTCTTTTGTAGAACATATTATATGAATAATGATTGTTGCTCACCCACCCATGAGCTAGATTCTGTTAAAATAAATTAGCATTGAGTAAATTTATATCCAAGGCCCAAAGTGACAACCCACCATGTGAAGTTTGTTTCTCTCTAAATTCATGATTCCTTTTTGCCTTTCAGTCTTCTCATTCATTACTCTCCTTCCTTGGACTATCCCTTCCACTACCATATATACATGTTTTATCAATAAGGCAATTAAGTCATAAGCTGGGAATAAAACTGAGGCCAGATTCCAAGACATCTGACTCCATATCCAGTTGTTTTAAGACTCCAGTTAATTTTTTCATGTTCCTGTGATAACTATGACTTTATCCCTAAAACTTACATGTAAGTGTTTCTTCACATTAGTGTTTGAGTGGACTAGAAAGAACTCAGGAAGAAACTAGCAAAAAACCCTTCCTTCACTATCATTTGTGTCTAAAATGACCAGATTCAGCCTTTCCTCCAAACCTTAATCCCCACCTATTCTGATATCCACGTTAGTCCCACTCAGCTAGTGACTGATGTGGCTGGGAGTGGGGGTGGGGATGGGGCTCCAGGAGTCCTCCACTTGGAGATGGAGAGAAAGGACTGTACTCAAGGATCACCATTTTATGGGGAATGAAGAAGATTCAAGGAAAAGAGAAGAAAGGTTTAGGAGAACTCACAAGAAGGTAGAAAGCCCAAGTCCAAATCTTGCAAGAAGTACAGAATATAGAAGCAGGACAGAAGAGTAGAATACAATGTTCTCTCTCACTGATAATCAAAGAAGTATGAATAAGAAAAGATACATGTTTACCCTCTCCTGCCCTCTCTGGAGCTCACTTACCTTCATCTTATCTTGCTTGGCATCTGTCGGCATGAAGTCAATAAGAAGAAAGAGGAAAAGACAGGAGGCTCTTAACTGTGCCATCATGACTGGTGTTGTAGATCACTGATCTGAGAGCCTGAGTGAGGTCCTTATGCATCTCCAACAGTATTTTGTTACTTTGGCAGAGACTGGCCCAAGCCTGAGCAGGCCAATTGCAGGGCCTCAAGGATTCCTGCCACATGAAGACTGGAGAATTCAAGCCACATCTTCGCCTACACATATGTCCATGAGCACTGAGTGCTCATTAGTGCGATTAGGACCTGGGACTCATATAAATTCTGAGAATTATGAGAGGGTGACGGCAATCCCTCGGAGGTCCTTGAAGACTATTGTTTGTTTTTCCTGAGCAGATGGGGATGTCTAGATGTAGATGCAGCCTCCCAGATTTCCTTGCAAATGGGTTTAGACATTCTAAACACTATTGCTAAGGTGTTTAGCTCATTGGTATAGTGTGGCTTCAATGCTTCAATACGCAGAACCAAAAGAGAAGAAAAAATTTGCAGATACCATGCCTAATATGATTACTTGAGGTTTTTTTTTTTTTTTTTTTTTTTTTAAATCAATGGACGAACTACCTAGCATCTGCTTGAGAGTTGAGAGAAAACTGGGGTAAGGGTTGTGGATATTTACAATATATGTAAAGAACAGCACATTGGTATATCCATTATAGAAATGCTTTTTTTCAAGGGCTTATAAATCAGTAGGGAAAAACTATCAGACGACAGAAAAATGGACACTAGACAGGAAATCAAATGTGGTAGGATACAATGTTCTCTCTCACCAATAATCAAAGAAGTATGAATAAGAAAAGATACATTTTACATTATCAGATTGGCAAAAGTTAAAAGGAATGGTGATGCCCAGCCTGGGTGCAGTCTGGTATTGGAAGCTCTTACACATTAGGTGGAGGAATAGGGAAATACAAATGTTGCCAACTTTCCTAGGATAATCTGCCATTCTGAATGCAATTCTTTTTAATAGTAAATAGCTTTTTTGAAATTAATTATAAGTTTAGAGGAAGTTGCAAGCACTCCTATTAATCTAGAAGCCCAAGGGCTAAGAAAAATCATGGAAGTAAGTCACATGCTACTGTAAAAATAAATATGCTTTGTCTCAGGCTGGGGCTGTAAGATGAGTAGTAGAGTGCTTGCCTAGCACTGGGTTCAATTCCCAGCACCACAGAAATATAAACAATAAATAAAGGTCTAAAAAAATACAATAACATTAAAAAAAAATAAGATGCCTTGACTTTCAACCAACACGTGAAACCCCATCCATTTGGTAGCAGCTTCCAACAACTGCTCTTAGTCTTCTGGAATAAATGAATTGATAAATGCAGACCTTGAGCCCTAGGAATTGCTGTCTTTCCCACATAAATAATATATTTAAATCCTATCAACCTCATGGAAGGCTGACTAAGTGCTGAGAGCCACGGCCGAGTCTGTATGGCCCCTGGCATTTTGCCAACAGTATTGATTGACAGGCGAGGCATTACTATCCACCTCTGCCGCAACTTTTGAGTTCTCGCACTATTTTGGAGTTCTCGTGGGGATTTCCGGGGATTCCCCGAGAGTTCCCATTGGTTGGGGAAGTGCAGGAGGAGGGATTTCCGGGAGAGATATTTCCGGCTGGGGGTTCCTGGACGAGCCGCGTGGCTTTCGGGAGGATTCCCCGGGAGCTGTGTGAAGTGTTTTCCTGCAGTTCAAAAATAAAGTTTGTTCCTGCTTCAGTGGCTCATGATTTGTGCCCAGCCAGACTGCGGCAACTAAGACCTTCCTGCCTCTTGTTGTCAGTACAACTTTATTTTTGGGATCTCAGGTGCTAATATTTGAGTTAATCTTACTTCAAAATTCATGATCACACTAGGTTGGTGGAACATGCCTGTAATCTCATGACTCAGGAGCATGAGGCAGGAGGATCGAAAGTTCTAAGCAACTTAGAGACCCTAAGCAATTTAGCTACACCCTGTCTCAAATTTTAAAAATATAAAGGTCTGTCCAGTGTGGTAGCATATGCCTGTAATCCCAGCGATAGGAAGCTGAGACAGGAGGATCTTGAGTTCAAAGCTAGCCTCAGCAAAAGCAAGGTGCTAAGCAACTCATGAGACCTGATCTCTAAATAAAATACAAAACAGGGCTGGGCGAGTGTCCCATAGTTCAATCCCCAGTACCCTAAATACATAAAGGTCTGGAGATTAAGCTCAGTCATGATTGGGTTCAATTCCCAGTACCCTTCCCTGACCTCTGTAAAAATCAAGATCATTTGTCCTTGGAAGACTTCTCTCTTGTCTTATTTTGTTACTTATACCACTTGATTTCCAAACTCCACTTTTCTTCTCCTTACACATAGGTTTTTTTAATAAGTTTAATATTCACAGTTTGTATGCTTGCAAAACTTATACATTCCTTGTCAAATCATCAATTCCTTGAATAAAAAAAAATTACTTTTTTCCCCCATTTGGATCTCAGTTTCAAAGGTTCGATTTTTAAAAATTTATTCTTCTTGTTATACATAACAATAGAATGTATTTTGATATATCATATATATATATATATGGAGTATAACTTCCCATTCCTGAGGTTATACATGATATCGAGTTACATGGATCCATATATGAACATAGGGAAATAATGTCCAATTTGTTCTATGGTTTTTCCCAATCCCATCCCCCTCCCTTCCTCTTATTCCCTCCCTCCAGTCTCCCTCCCCACACCTATTGTGAGTCAGCATCTGAATATCAAAACATTGGGCCTTTCAATTTTGGGGATTGGCTTTTTTCACTTAGCATAATAGTCTCCAGTTCCATCCACTTACCAGCAAATGCCATAATTTCATTCTTCTTTATGGCTGAGTAATATTTCATTGTGCATATATACCACATTTCCTTTATCCATTCATCTGTTGAAGGGCACCTAGGTTGTTTCTACAGCTTAGGTATTGTGAATTGAGCTGCTATGGACATTGTTGTGACCATCACTATAGTATGCTGATATTAAGTCCTTTGGGGTGTATATCGAGGAGTGGAATAACTGGGTCAAATGGTGGTTCCATTCCAAGTTTTCTGAGGAGTCTCTGTTCTGCTCTCCAGAGTGGTTGCACCAATTTGTAGTCCCACCAGCAATATATAAGCATACCTTTCTCCCACATCCTTGCCAATATTTATTGCTACTTGTATTCTTGTTAATTGCCATTCTGATTGGAGTGGGATAAAATCTCAGTGCAGATTTAATTTTCATTTCTAATTTGCTAGAGATATTGAACATTTTTTCATATATTTGTTAACCAATCATATTTCTTCTTCTGTGAAGTGTCTATTCAGTTTCTTTGCTCATTTGTTGATTGGGTTATTTTTTTTTGGTGTTAAGTTTTTTGAGTTTTTAAAAAATATTTATTTTGTAGTTATAGGTGGAAACAATGTCCTTTATTTTGCTTTATGTGGTGCTGAGGATCAAACTCAGTGCCCCATGCATGTTAGGCATGCACTCTACCTCTGAGCCACAACCCAGCCCCCGTTTTTTGAGTTCTTTATGTATCCTGGAGATTAATGCTCTATCTGAGGTACAGGTAGCAAAGATTTTCTCCCATTCTGTAGGCTTTCTCTTCATGTTCTTGATTATTTCCTTTGCTGTGAAGAAGGTTTTTAGTTTGATGAAATATAAAGTTTTGATTTTTTAACTCTTAAATTTATGGCACTTGATCATCATTAGGCTATGTAAAGTTTTTCTCATTATGCAAATAAAATATTTTTTTTCTTCTCCAATTCACTCCCACCTTCCTAAATCTTAAGAGTGGCAAGGAAACAGATATTACAGACTAGAAAGTTGGTAACCTTTGTTATATTGCCACAAAACTTTTAGTAAAACTGTTGCCTATGATGACTGAGATGGTGAAATGATAAAAAGACAGGTGAATACTAGTATGTACTAATCATTCTTAATGCTTTGGAACTACAAGAAATGGGTGAATTTATCAACTAACTGGGCTCTGGTGAGACAAATAGATGTTAAAATCTATTTGGATTAGTTGAGTCTGAGGTTGTTCCTCCTTTACCACATTTCTCACTTTCCATTCCCTTCTTCCATAGGACCTGCACTGTGAACTCAGCTGTGCTGAGCTCCCATGTTTAAGGAAATGATAAGTTCATCCTCTCTGGTTCTAAGTTCCTTCCCAAGTACCCTCTTTCCCTTCCAGAGTCACACAAAAAGCTGCCTCCTCCTCCTTGGAGCTGAAATCTAAATGGGGTTTAATTCTGGGCACCCTACCCCCCCCCCTTGATATTTGCATATTAAAGTATCAGGTTTAAAAAACAATGTACTTTCATTCCTCAATCCTTTCCAACATTTGTGACTCTAGGTAAATTGCCCTCTGCACCTCTGTAAAAGATGGTCCTCATCTGTAAAACTGGGAGACTAATATGAACTTCATAGGGTAAATTTTAAAAATAAAGAAGATATATAATTTTTTTAAACTTGTGGTATTGGCCCTGGCCTGAAGTGCACAGATTATATAAATTAAACAGATGAAGAAATTGAGGTTAAAGTAAAAAAAAATGACTTAAGTCAAATTATGAATTTAGTGATGGTAAAATTATTACACACTAGCTCCTCCCTTGCTGTTCTAAATTTCTTGCTTAGCCACTTTATCTTTACTTATCACACAATAAGTAACTCCTAGAGTTACTTAAGCTCTACCTCAATGTTAGACCAAGTGACCCTTAAAATTCTTGCTTTCCCAAGTTTCTGTTTCTTTTGTTTCAGTTTTCTTAGGAGCAAGAGCCCCTCCTTGGAGCTTAGGCTCAGCATAGGTCACAGGGAGGGCACTTTCTGTCACCTTCCAGACTGTCTCTCAAGGCTTCTGTCTCTTCTCATCAGAACCACATATCAAATCTTTGTCATTTCTTTCCTAGAAGGATAAAATCATCTACTTGTCTTCTCTCTTTCAGGTTCTTCCCCTTCAATACTTCTCCTCTACCCTGCTATCTCTGCAAACTCTAAATACCCATCTGATAATATCCTTTTACTGATGAAAAAGCCAATGATGTGAAC